TACGATTTTCAAGTCGCAGGATCATGAGATCACGAGTAATTGCGAATTATCAGCTTAGAAGTATAATAACCTCTTGTGATCTTAACTCTTCTCTCAAAAACGAATTGCAGTATTTTCGATTATTGCGGGGACAAGTTTCACGATATTATATTAAAAGCAATATACGATAAAAAAAGGGACAGGAGTAACCTCTACTCTATAATGATTTTGAACCATATAAGTTGGATTTTATTGAGGTAAAAAGTCGCTTATTTATACTTTCTTTTTACATATACGCTAAATTATTGAATTTTCTTTTTTTCTTCAATTTACTAAATTTTCGAAATTCGCGAAATTTACAAATTTTTACGTGGTTTCCGAAAGTAGAATTCGATCGTTACGATGCATGTACATATCGCTCCTTTAATGTGTGTCAGGTTGGTAATACATTAATTAGTCAAAGCAATGCGTTAATTAAAAAAATAAATAATTTTTTACATTATAATTAATTAAAGGAAATTCATATTTCCACACCTTTTTTTGATAATGCCACACCCGCCGATCATTATAATTTTTACAATTTTTTCGAAGATATCTCGATATTTACATGAACAAATTCGACAAACTTTTTTCTTTGAGTTCTACATATTCTACATATTCTACAATTAAAATAAAAAAAGAACATCGAATTTGGTCAGGCGGTCGTCGAGATATCTTCGATCAAAGTATTGAAATTTAACGTCTATCAAATAGAAGCCGCGTTGCAGATTGTTGTGAAACTTTGATCGAAGATAACTCGATATCCACCTGACTATTCGATGAATTTTTTTTCTTTGAATTTTATAGATTTCTACAATTAAAATAAAAAAAGTTGTCGAGATATCCTCGACTAAAGATTTTGTTGCAGATTGTTGTGAATTTGATCAAGGATATTTCGACATCCACCTCAAATTCGATGAACTTTTTTTTATTTAAATTCTACAGATTTCTACAATTAAAATAAAAAAAAAACTTCGGCGAATTTGATTAGATATGTCGAGATATTTTCAATTAAACCCATAATAAAAAAGATCTTTCCTCGGTAGATTAATACAAATACATTACTTGGATCTTTTTCGAAATTAAAAAAATTAGAATGATCGGCGAGGGTGTGGCATTATCAAAAAAAAATCCTAATTATTTTAATATTTGAACTTATTTAGTTAACATTGCAATACGTATACAGTACTGTAAATGGTGATTAAGATTCTCAGTGGGCATGCTGATCTTGCACCTAACTTCATTTCGGTTATAACGTAAGCGTTGAGTTATTACAATCCTTTGAAATTGATACCGAATTTGCGTATATTTGAAAGGTAAAAAAATTATGAAAAATTTTTCTCATTATCATTATAACTAATGTAATTTTAATGTATAATAATTTGCAATAATGGGATTTATGCAGCCAATCAAATCTTTGTAGAGCTGTATCTCGTATGTAACGATTTCCTTTTTGTTTTTACGCATCTAAAATGGTAACAAAACTCTTCGAAAACCTTTCATAATTATCTTGAGCTTCTTGATAAATACGGGTGAGCATTCAAAAATATTTCAAGTTCATTCAAATATTTTGATATAGGTCTGTATTTTCGTGCAAAAACGAACACCAGTAGTACGTTTTAGTACAATTGTTAATCTATTAATATTTCTAATTGTATAATTACTAAAAAGCGTAATGGATTAATTTGAATGTTACCTCTTTTAATGATATTTTATACTCTTTTATTATCTGGTCATTTTTAAGATCTTTAATATAAGGACATTCTTCTTTTTGACCATTCATACACTCAACACATGTTTTTTTATATAATCCATGTGCTCTTTCTTACCGTATAGGCGTAATAACGCACATGGGTTATTTCGAAATTTCGATTTTTTTAAAAATGGCATATTTGACTCAAAATAATGCCCATGCGCGTCTCAAAATAACGTACCCCTCCAAATGTACCAGATTATCATTCAAGAAAATAGTTGAAATTTTTTTTCAAAATTAGCATAATGATTCGAATTATCGCGCATGCGCGTCACGAAATAACGCGCCTATACGGTATATGAACTCTTCTCATATGCAAATTCCCAAAGCAGTATTCTGAAACTACATCATTAGAATTAATAGTAACGATTGATTAAATAACTAAAAAAAAAGTAAGAATCATAATTTATTTAGATTCAAAAAAGCTAAAATTCCGTATCTTTGCTATTTCATTTAAATCAGATTTAAAGTTTCCTGATCAATCCAATCAAACGCCGTAAAATTTAAATCTTTCATGCAGATCTTATATTTTTCAGTTAATTGTTTAGACCTTTTTTCAATATTAGTAGCATTCAAATATTTATTTAATACTTTTAATTGAGTTACATCATTTATTAATTCTTTAATTTTTTCTATTAAGTTTATACAGTAAGTCCAATAAATGCCTTTTGATAATCTAATTTACGAAAATTTTCTTCACAATCTTTTTTTTCATTTTGTAAAATTTTTATAGCTGCTTCAGCTAATATTACATGGTCCATCAAAGTAGAGCATTTTCATATATTTTTATTATTTCATTAATGAGTCTCGATGCTATTGCTATCCATGGTGCAACTGAGGTAAGAGTATTGGCAGCTGCACCAAAAGTAGTAGCAATCCCATTAGTGTCGTATCTTTTTGTTTTCAACCACGTCAATTTCTCTAGAAGGCGCTTCTAGAATATTTTCTTTGGTTCAGACGTATTTGATTTAATCGGACACTTCATTTATTATGAATATACTATATATTATGTTGTAGATTATTTTTTACCAAATGACTTGAATCGGAAAACTTGAGCTTTTTATTACCGTTTTATCTGCTTGAAGCTTTAACTGACTGACCATCAGGGCGAAGAATACCTATTCCATGCAACTATTGTCTCAGTATCTTTTTGATATATCAAAATAATAAAAATAATTTGAATCAAAAACGATATTTTTTGAATGGACATAAAATGAATACCGTATAAACGCGAAATAATGCCCACCTGCATGTTAATTAAATGGCTGCGCGCTATTCTGCATTTGGGTTATTTCGAAATAAATGTTGATTTTCTGAATCAATATATCATTTACCAATCGATATATTATGTTGTATTAGGATGCGCGTTAGGCCGTTCAAAGCTGATTATTAGGTTAATGTCAATATTTTAGGCTCAGACGCGGGGAGATAATTTAAACAAACATAATAAATAAAAACGATTGTAAATTTCTATTTAACTCATATAAGATATAATGTTTATTGACTTATATTCAGTTTACATGTTAAAGCCGTTAGTTGATTGTTGGCAATCACATGATAATCGACCTCCTGATCTCGTCAATCCTCTTTATATCGAATCTTTTGTAATGAATCCATTCTATAATGAGCTTTTTTTAAAAAAAAAATTATTACATATTTCGGTATAGGAACATAATAAATGACTTCTATAAGGAACTTTTAAAAAATTTTTACCTTTCTGTTATTAGAATTTGTTCATGAATATAGATCGTTTATAAATCTATTACAGCCGAAGCTTACTATAATGAACTTCTTTATAATGAACCCTGGACATAACGAACTGAGAAATCTTAAATTTATATTAGTTAAGTTTGGAAAGTGTGGATTTTGTATATTCGATGATTTGATGTCATTTGTACAATTTAATTCAAGTTTTACAACTCTTTTAAATTTGCTCGTGATTATTTAGTAATCGAATTTATCTTTGATGTTTTTGCCTATTTTGGACTAATAATAGTGGTTTTGTCGTTTAGAAAACAATGAAGAAAGTCTTTCCTTGCAAAAAAAAACTTATTATTCAAAAAAATAAAAAATAAAATAAAGAAAAGATTGATAAAGCACGAAAATAAAGGATTGAAAAATTTTTTGATACTACATTGTCAGAATAACAATTGACTGCGCTTGCAGATGATTTGATTAAATATTATTGGTCAATTTTAATCACATGATTATTGAAAAATTTTCTGTATTGTGATTGACCTGTTTAATTTTGGAGGGACCGAGAGGGTTACGTTACCTAATAATTAACTTTAATTTGGGGACGCCTATGGGCGTTAATTTGGACGATGTATGCAAAATAACGCCCACGAGCGTTATTTCGCGTGACACAGTAGATATTTTCCGTCTTGCTGACCATATATTGCCTTGCTTTGATGAATTTTCTATTTAGGAAAGAAAATAATGAGAGTTATGAGTGCTCATTATGTACAAAATGGGAACTTTTTTTACGAAATTTTATGAAAATTTTTTCAGTATTAATCAAAAGGAAATGTGGCGGTTCATGAGTAAGACTCAAACCAAATTTGATTTTAAAAGGCAATGAGCAGAGGTAGATTGTCGAAAAGATTGAAGAGGGTTAACGACTCCTGTAGGCCGTAACATTCATTTATACCTAAATTAATTGTGGTAACAACATAAACAATCTGAAATATAAGTCATTACGGTAGATTTTTTAATGATCCTCCTCAAAGTTTTTGTTTCAAAATTTCAAGTTTCTCAAATTCTTTAAGATCATTCCATTTGATTAGACTTGGGAACTAAACTAGGAAAACAGATGTTGTTATAATTTCGGAGCATTTAACATATAGGCTGCACAAATATGCAATCTAGGTATTTACTTATCTATTGCGAGTCCTTTACTACGCTCCGGACAATAAAGGATTAATTCCACAAAGACTGCCATAACATATTATCACAAGTAAAATTAAATTCAATATGGTACAATAGGCACCAATAGACATTCTATTGCTGCCAATTTTGGCTTCAAAAGTGATCAATAGTTATCAATCGGATCTTATTTTCAATAACATCCGCGACAATATTTATAAGCTGGATACGACTTGTTCAATACTGGAAACAAAGTTTCAAGAATAACTTACTACTTGGCTTTTATATAATTCATTAGTTGCTTTCGTCAAGATTCACCGAATAGATTATAATACAACATTCATATTATTTGATTAATTTTAGAATGAAAATTGGGAACGAAATCGATATAGCTATATTAAAAGATAATAATGAACTTGGCATGCAAAGTTTAAACAAATACTATCGACGTGCTTGGAGATCATTAGATTTTGACTATTCAAAACTCGATCAACATTGTGACTTTCTTAAAAACAAATTTCTTAATAATGATTCTTTTAATGATAATGAAAAAACTTATTTACTTGCTAAACTTGGAGAATATCAAGAGAAATTTAATCTGATAAACCAAAAGGGTAAAACTAGAAAATGTGAAGATTGTCATGATGAGACTTATTCCGTTCAGAACTGTGAAAAATGTATTCAAAATTATTTGAGTCAAAAGTTTAATACATGGACTTCTGGTGATGAAAGGATTGACCATGCAATTCAAGACGCTCAAAAAAATGTAATTTGTCCATATCAAATTATTGAGTGGATTCCTTATGAAAATCTTGAAGGTGTTGAATATTTTACTCAAGGTGGTTGTGCTACTATTTATAAAGCAATTTGGAAAGATGGTTGTTATAATACTTGGGATTATAAAACGAAAAAATTAGTGAGATTCGGTAAACAGTTGGTCATTTTGAAAATGTTAAAAAGCTTTGATCAAAATAATAGTTGGTTTGATGAGGTAAGATTAAATATGGTGACTAGGGTTGAAAATTATATAGTATAATAAAATTTGGTATGATTAATTGTACTTTATTATGCCATTTTTATTATACGGTATATTTACGTTCACGTGACGTATTAGTTTAACTACTATTGGTCAACTCCGATTTTGTCTATCATCACGTGAACTTCAACATCCGATATTTTTTACATATTATATTAATAGATTTATTAATATCCAGGCTTTAAATCACTTCACTATTGATAAGATTGCACAATATCTTGTTCCTTGTCATGGATTAACAAGGGACCCAGCTTAAATGAAATTCATAGAAGAAAAAAGGTTCATAGAGATTTACATTCTGGAAATATTTTAATTAGACATACTTTAGCACTTTATATTAGTGATCTGGGATTTTGTGGCCCTGCTGATAAACCATTAAATTGTATATTGCACCTGAAATTATGTGTAAAATGCCTTATACTGAAATGGCAGATATTTACAGCTTAGCAATTATTATGTAGGAAATAGCAATAGGCGTACCACCGTATATGAATAAAAAGCGCGATATTAATTTGGCTTTGGCCGTCGTTAAAGGAATGCGTCCAAAAATAGATTATAAAATACCACGGGGATATGCAGCTCTAATGGAACAATGTTGGGATGCAAATCCGGAAAATAGACCTGACATTTCAACAGTTTGGAAAAAAATTCGTGAACTTCGAATGAAACTTATTGAAGCTAAAGATAATGGAATATCAGAAGAAAATTTTCTTGAAATACTCCCAAGTTCTACTCAATTAACTCAATTAGCAAAGGACAAAAATGTAACAAGATGTTCTAGTGACCTTTACATTCTTACGAATCTATCAGAGCCAAAAAATACCTCAAAGGGTTTGAAATTAAACTTTTTCTAGAAAATAGTTTAATTGATTTAAAAATTGATAACTGTATTTAAATTTTTTTTTTTACTTCTAACAGCCGATAGTATGGAATTAGAATTATCAGTTCCCGAGTATGGTATGTCTTTGTTTAGTATATTATATAAGTTTTGATATTTCAATAATTTTAAATTCTGACCAAAAATAATTATCCCAAAGATGAATCAGAGGATGAATTCAACAATGAATCAAAATCAGAATCAAGCGCTATATATCCTGACCTTTCTGAATACTGTAGTTTATAAAAAATTAACATTACATTAAAGTTTATTCAAAATGCTAAATATGTTTTAAACTTCAAATATTTTTTATTTTTTATTTTTTTTGACTTATCTTAAATATAAATCTACTGAATAATATTATTATCATGAATAATAAAATAAATATATTTTAACAACTCTCTCTTAATATCCATTGATCAGGTTTCTAATTCCCTTAAAAACATATCGAGTACATCCAGTGTTGGAAATCTTATGTTCTCATGTTCTCACGAGAACATCCTTTTAGATTTGAGAACATTTGTTATTTTATATATGTTCTCTATGAAAAAAAATTCGAGAACATGATGCTGAAAAAGCATGTTCTCTAAGTACAATAGCAAAATTCCAGATGGAAATAGAAATTCCGAAAGGAAAGTGAATGAACATAAAATACGAGAAGGGTTGGGATAAAAATTAGAACAAATGTCCGATAATTTCCGAAAAAAGGGATATCAATAATTTTATAGATTAAATGTTGAGAACATAAATAAAATTTTGAGAACATTAAATCAAATAAATATGTTCTCATGAGAACATAAATCTCAAAACAGATTTCCAACACTGAGTACATCCATAATTAAATTTTAATTAATTTCTTTTTCATAGTGAAATCTTGTTCTGCCATCAAGCATTCTACTGAATGTGTATATTTTATCATTTTCATTGACCATAAAATAACGCTTATCAACCTTTATCTCCTGTTTTTTATAAAGCTCTTCAATGAAAGATTCAAGCTGGCTACAATAATCTAACAAAGGTAAATCAAACCCTTTAACATTAAAGTCGATAGGATCTTCAGCATTTTCTACATCTGATTTCGCCGATTCAAAACCAACTTTCTCTAGAATACGCCATGATGAAATATTAATAGGTCTAGCAGTAGCATAAAAACGTTTTAGAATTTCACCATCAAAGCATTGAAACTTTTTTTGAATCACTTGGTATTGCTTATCCAAATTTTCAAAACCTTCACCTAAACCAATTCTACGCACTTCTGGACCCCACTCTTCAACAATCTTACTTAAAACAGATTGACCAATACCTTTATTCCAATATTCACATGATAGCACATATGCTAGCTCAGAAACACCTTTTTCGTCTCCTTGCCCAGCTACTATATATCCAATAAATTTATTTTGATCATCAAATATAGTGAATGCGCCATGTGGATGTCCCTCATTATAACGATTTTCCCAAATCTTTAATCGATTTCTAATTTTTTCATTTGTCCATGGCCTTTCTACACCAAAATATTTTACAACTACTTCGTCACTTAATAACTTTTCATAATATTGTAAATCAATATTCTGAACTTCTCGTGCAATCCATTTTCTATTTTCTTTATCAGTACCACTTAGTTTTGCAACCAATTCTTTTGCATCATCTGGATTTTTATAACTAAAAATAGAAGAAATTGATGATGTTATCATGTTTGAAATAAGACAGTAAGATAGATTATAATTGAAAATAATATTATATTTGTTTTCAGACTTATTTAAAGAATTTTGTACGTACAAATGATTTTTATTTGTTTGTTACTATAGAAACAAATATTGTTAGATCCGGAGCTTGAAATCCAATAATTAACTATAATAATAAGACAGTATAAGGTTGAAAATTTCTAGAGCTAAAAAAAGTGCGATCTATGCTGTCGATATTATCGTAAGATGCCTTTAAGTCTGCCTTATTTTAGATTAGATGATCCTCAACTTACTTCTTCGAATCATATGCGGAGTTCCAGCACATCTGTAATACATCTGTAATCAGTGACAGGTTACGCAAGCGTCAATCTGAGACTGCCATAACCTCAAAAAAAAAAAATTGTAAAATTGATTGTACCGGGTAAAATCTATTTACTATTATTTTAAAGTTTTATTAATTAATATATAACTCATATTGTTTAACAACTAGCGCTAGCTTTAATACCAATTTCGGGTTAGCGATCAACATTCAGCCTAAACTGTGTTTTGAGGCAAATTTTTTATGCAGTAAAATGATTTCAAACCTTAATTAACACATGCTTAACTAATTTTATCAAGATCATTTTTATCGTTATTACGATTTCGTCTTTCGAAATATTTTTAGTACGACCTTTTTTTTGGTATTGTAATGAAGGTAACTCGATACGTTGTAAATCGCAAATATTAATGAACTCAATCTCTTGAAGAATCTTATTGTTTATGACGATCTACATTATTGCTTATTAGTGATAGACATAATAACTAATTAATTGTATTATAGTATCATAATTTAGTGGTTAACACACTGATTTACAGATTTTTCCTAGGTAGAATTCATATAAATTTGTTGAACACAACACTATAGATAGAATTTCAAATTCGATAATTCGATATTTAAAAACTTATCGTTACTGTATATACAATAACGCGACCAATTTAATTGTTCATACAAACTAGGGATGCTATCACTTTATTTGGTATAATGAATAGAGCCGATAATAACTTTACAGAGTTCTATATTAATGCTGACATAAATCAATGTAGACTTGGCATATTACTATAGAATACAGTTCTTTGCCTAAGTCAAATTCAATTAAACCCCAATAAATAATATTTGCCTAAGTCAAAATCAATTCAACCCCAATAAATAATATTTATTGCCCTTATATACTTACGCACTTTTCTGATCCGCAGATTATTAATTCTTTTCTTGTGTACATACGTACGGTATGTACATACCTGATACATAACAAATAATCTTCCTAACTAAATCGTAACTTTGAATATGTGTAATTTTGTAGAGATACGTATCAAATATTATAACCACGATAAGGTTGATATTCAATGCGTATAATAGTTATGAATAAATGCTTCATGCGTGTGAAATTTTGTTTATTAACGTTAGGTCAGACCTTGTAAATATTTTTTTTATAAAAAAAACCTTAATTATTAAATAATGGATAAAAAAAAGAATTCAAACAAAGAATATATGGACAAGAAAAGAAATAATATAATAATACTAATATTGTAAAAGAATTACAAAGAAAAGAAAAAACTTTATCTAGAACTGGTTTAGATAAAAAAAATAAAAAAATAAAGTATAAATCATATACTATATATATCAATATATATCAATATATATCAAATATATAAATGAATATCAAAATATTTATGATTATGACAAAGACGTTTCCGAATTTCTAAAATATAGGTTGAATTCCAAAAAAATAAACTAAACTCCAAAAAGATAAACTTGCAGTTTTCATTATTTTTTAACAAAGGTCATTAATTGTAAGTAAGAACAAACAAAACTTCCTTAATATTTTTTTTAAGTTTATACATTTACGCATTTCTTAAAAACCTAAAGTACGTAAGTACATAAGTACGCACGTATAATAATTGATATTTATTAGTTATTGTATGATAAAAATTTTCAGGTTTTTTATTTAAAATAGGAAAACAAGTTACGATTGTTCTGATCTATTTCGAAGATCGATTAATCACAATTGACATTAATATTATCATTATTTCAATAAAAAAAAAATTTTTAATAAAAAAAATTTTTTTTTTATTGAGTAAAGGCAAACTACACAGCCAAGGTCTTAATTATTCATAAAATGATCGTTGCGTAGAGGTATTTCTATATTTAAAAATGTATTTATATAATTTTAGTTATATATACTGTATATATATATATCGATATATATATATGCCTGTATATAGTAAAGTATAATTATTAAAAAAAAAAACTAGGTTTATGTAATAAATCGGCCGATTTTGGAATTAAAAAAAGATTTTTTTGATCACCAAAAGAGTCAAATTCGTGTAATCTATGCATCAAATTTGGCATAATAGAGTAAATTAAATATAAATTTTTTACTTTCGGTCACTTGTGCATTGTTTCACCATTTTCCATATATGCTATAATGATTTACGTTTACATGACTAAAATTGATTTTTCGTCGTCATATTTGATCTATACCCTTGAATGCCCATTTTTTATTTGTACCCCTACATATTACTTTTGATTTACCTTGATTTAAGTGGGACTGCAAGAATAGTGTTACACTTTCCATTGTAATTTATATTGTCAAAAATGTACAAGATTAAATACGAGTTTAATATGGGTTTTAAGATTGATCAAACTATGCCTGAAATTAATAAATACATGTAGCATATTATCTCTCTTTTCTTGTATATATTTTTAAAACTAAAGTGTTCAATTCTTTTTTATTAAAGGTGATTATCTTGATTTAATTAATTGAATATATATATATATTTTATTGTATTATTTTGGTCGAAATAACGCGTCATTTTGCTTGGC